TTGCGAACACTCTGGATCAAGGTATGGTTTGAAGAAAAAAGTAAATTCAGATGTTACTGCCAAACTTTCGACCCGTTTTACCGTCATCATCAGGACAAAACAATCTTAAAAATAACAGATTATCATTTTTAAGTTTTTTACTGGCGATCTCAAATTTCCTTGGAGACCGGCTGTATGTTACCAGTCCTTGGCAATATTAAGACTGAGTTGATCTGAAGAAATAAATTTATAGCGATAAAAAGTATTCATTTTTGGGCTGGATTCACCGGGGGTAATTTTATTTTCGTCGATATCTGGTGGTTGGTCTACTTAAAAATTAATAACACCTGTAGATTTTTCCCAAATACAGCATTGCTACAATATCCATTATATTCAGCGATCTATTGACCAAATTACTTCTTTCAATCAATTAATCTTTTTACGTAAGGTTTTGGTTGAAATGAAAAAGTTAGTGTCACGAGCGGGTCCGAGTGGGTCGAAGTCACGATAGCTCAAGTGGTTAGAGCGGCGGCGTATTGAGCCGACGGTCGTGGGTTCGAATCCCGCACGTGACACTAACTTTTTCATTACAACCAATACCTTACGTAAAACATTAATTAATTGGAACTTGGAAAGCTGATTTTTCCAATTTCTGCCTATGTCAATACTTAGATTTTATGCCAGTAAATTAGAACCGGAAATATAAACTAAAACCATTGAAGAGTTTTAATTGATTTCATCCTTTTTTGTCTCACTTTTAACAACATAAAATCTAAACTTTCTTGATTGAGACTGACTTGAGAAAAATTCAGCTTTCTAAGGGTTGTAATTAAGTTTAATTTGACTAAAATCCAGAGATATGAACTTTTCAGTGGACCACCGAACATCAGCGAAACAAAAACTCGGCTAATCCAGCCTCCAAAAAATATATATTTTTACTAAAATGAGAATAAGCGTTTAAGAGTTTTAAAGGGTGCTTAAAACGAATTCGAATTGCTTTTTTTCTCGCCTGCTTTGCTAGTTCGGAGCTCGGTGGCCGAGTAGTTAGAGCTTGTATTTGTCTATCGGTTCTGAGTTCGAATCCAAGCGAATCCAATCCATGGATGTTTAAGTGTAAACGGGATTGTAAAGTGGTTTTATCCATCGTCCGTAACACCCAAGGTAGTTGGACATCAAGCCCTCTTTACCTATAGGATTACTATCTACTATCTTTGTATTAGTTTTTTTTTCACGTAGGATAAGAAATTAATATAGTGATAGGGATAAATGAGGTGACCACAAGACCTTCCGCAGATCGGCTGTTAGTTAACCTCCGCCTTGCCTGCTTTTCGTGCTTGCTGCTTTTCCTCTGCTAGTCGCAAGACTAAGCCCCACAAAAACATAAAATGTGCTATGTTGTTGCTGTTTCCTCTTCTTCATAGCGGCACAACGTTCGCAACAATTTGAAGTTTATGTTTAATTAATCGAAATACCGCCTTGGGGGAAGTGATAAACGATTTCTGCTGGGAAAATAGCCGGCCTAATGCGAACATTTATGGCGTAACTTATCGTTTACCAAAATCATAAATATAATTGGCCCCTGAATGTAACCTTGCATTCCCCTTTAAGGGCGCTGACACTCGGAGCGGTTTTGCTAGGTTGTGACACATGCAGCGGTATGATGTGCGTTTTGGCCGAAGCGGTTTTGTTTTCTCTCAGTTATTAAATGTATAACAAGTCCTGTTTAATAAATATATTTTTTACAGTTCTGTAACTGTATGTAACTTCGTGTATTAGTTACAGCCTTACAGACCATTTCCCCCATGCAGTACTTTTTTTTTTCTTTGATGAACATTCCATGGAACTGGCTACAAAGTGAAATCTCACAGTTATCTACACACTACGTCTCGTTCGGTTTTCTTTTCTCTATGAAGTTTTGAAAAATAGTCTTTAAAAATAAATATTTAAGTTGATTTATATTTAGATGGGATCTCGGGTAGCCGAATAAGCGTGTCAGACTCTCGGCTTAGATCCTGCAGTTGTAGGTTCGATTCCCGTTTCGCTCCCCCCCAACAAAAAAAAATCAATCCTCTCTGATCAATAAAAGTAAAGTAATTCCTGTTCAGAGTCAAGGAAGGTTTAAACTACTTTTCATTTTTCATACTATAATTTAAAAGGCACAGAGCTGGGATTTGAACGAGGTCCCCTTCCTCCTCCAGATAATAATCAAAACAAAATCTTTATTAAAGTAGTTACTACCATGTATCACCGACAGTCATACGCATACTTTGTACCGGTAAAGTTGTAGAAATCATTTAATTATAGGGTGATATACTTTCAAGTAGTTGTAAAGTTAAAAGAGGCCCTGGAGGAAGGTGAGTTCGTTTTAAAAACGGTTGTTACTGTACAGCACCGTACAATCTGTAAATACTTAGATTTTTCCCCCAATTTTAGTGGTGGTTAAGTATCAATATGTAAAGCTCTAGGTGTCAGGAAGTTGAGAATTAGCTAAAATTCTATTATTTATTAATCTTATTGAACTGGCATTGGCCCATTCCCCATGGAGTTCCCATGGATGAAGAGATACTTCTGGTGTCTCTGTAATCTTATTGAACTGGCATTGGCCCATTCCCCATGGAGTTCCCACGGATGAAGAGATACTTCTAGTGTCTCTGTTGTACTTTCGTTGGAAGAAGAGAAGGGAGAAAAAACACAGGAGAATGTGGGTTCATCCAATTGTCGAAAAGGGAAGCGAAAGAGGGCATTTTAAGAATTTGTTTTCAGAGATGAGGAAACACCCTGAAGAATGTTTAAACTTTACCAGGATGTAAATGGGCAGTTTTGACGAGTTACATAGTAAAATAAAATGCCGCATTACACATTTTTTTCTCCACGTCTATTTTTTGCATCTTAAAAATAAATTAGAAGACTGACAAACAAACAAACCTTCAAGAAAGTGGGGTACGAACAGCTCAAATAAACGCCACGTGTGTCAGGGCTGATGCAATACCTGCATTGAAACCGTGTTTGCACGTGAATTTTCCACCCGGACAAAATCAAAATAAACAACGCAATACATAATTTCGACATGTTGTTTACATGTAATTAGCCTAGAACTGCGAGCCGGGTTGGATTCTTATTGTTCAAAATAAACAGAGCGAAAATAGATAGCGTTGTGTCGAAAGAGAAGGAAAGCTGCTTTCGGAATTAGTTTCAGACCAGGCGCCTCTTATCATAAGCGAGGATGTATGCTCATGCTACATGCACCCAGGCCTTTCTCAGTCCAGAAATTAATTCCCCATCTCGCCCTATCAACATGTTTGCATTTTGATTAGAGTCATATTAAGCACGGCCTGACAAGCAGCAAGTCTTTTTATTCTATTAATTTAGTGGTTTTGAGCGTTGCGTACCTATTTTGGTGCTCTAGGTGATCTATCAAAACGTTTAGTATCTTGACTGGAGTGGAGGGAGTTTCCGTTTCATCCTAATCTGCCTACAGTTGGTGTTTTATCTATCTGTCACCTTGTGGCATTTCGCTATCTTCAGTGGTTCGTCTGCGAGCTATTTTTTCAGTTCTGTCATATTTAAACGTTTGGAGTGGATTGAGCTCTTTTTAAAAGTACAGCTTGGTCGTTTCTTCATACTTATCTGCCTATCCTCGCAATTTTGATCTTGCGACGTCTTTTGAGTTTTGCAATTTTAAATGGTTCCTCTGCGTGTTATTTTGCCGTTGTGTCTTATTTATACGTTTCCAATACGTCTGAAGTCAGCTGTGTTTTATTTTTGCTTTTGCAATACGTCTGGAGTAGATTGGGTGCTGTTAATTAAGCTTGGCCGGTTCTATCCGTTCTTGTCTGACTATCCTCGCGGTTTTGATCCAACTGGCGTGTTTTGGCATTTCCAATTTTCACTGGTTGGTCTGCGTGTTATTTTGGCAGTTGTGTCTTATTTATAAGTTTCCAATACGTCTGAAGTGGAATTATCACTGTTTAAATAGGAAACTTGGTGTTTTTTTGTCATGTTCATTTCTGTTATGACGCCTTTTCGCATTTGCATTCTTCAGTGGTTCCTCTGCGAGTTATTTCTCAGCTGTGTTTTATTTTTGCTTTTGCAATACGTCTGGAGTAGATTGGGTGCTGTTAATTAAGCTTGGCCGGTTCTATCCGTTCTTGTCTGACTATCCTCGCGGTTTTGATCCAACTGGCGTGTTTTGGCATTTCCAATTTTCACTGGTTGGTCTGCGTGTTATTTTGGCAGTTGTGTCTTATTTATAAGTTTCCAATACGTCTGAAGTGGAATTATNGATCCCTCAATCTTTACATCAATCATTATTTCTCGACATTTGGACAAAATTAAAACCTTTATTTCTCTATATTTATTATACAGTGTTTTGATTATAACGGTGGCTCATCCATGAATGGATTTCAGAAATTACAACCGAAAAAAGTTTTGGCCCTTTCATAATATTCCAGAGCTGGAAGCTTAAGAAAGTCCATGACCTTAAAAACATTAGTTAGCCAATTCAATTAGTCGTGTCCCAGGGTCGTCTTTCAGCGTGAACATCCGTGGCAGTTTTTATCATAGGAAATATTCGGCTTTTTTGCTATCAGGAAAATATTGATTTTTAAAAAACCAAATATTAATTTATTTCTCGGAGAGCTAATGTTTTAACAACTGACAAGTGTTGGACTATTTGATGAAGACATAAAGGCTTTTATAATCAATGCCATTTTTCTGACTTTGTTTTATTTTTTTGTTCTTTGAAAAGTTTAACTAATAGTGATTCAATATTGATGACAAAATATATTTCAGAGTGGGCCTTCGTCACATCGTAACACGGTTTAAATGCTATTTTCTTTCTTGTACTTAACGTTGCACACGTCGTATTTCAAAACCCCCCCAAGGCCTAATGACGAAAAGTTCAATAAATGCAATGTAATGCGAGTTATTTGAAGATTCTGATTATTCTCTTTCGAAATAGTATTTATTACTTTTTTCCCATTACCTTAATATAACTGATCGGTTTTATTTGTTTGTTTCAGGAAGATTACCGGTGACAGCTGAAGCTGTTGTTTGCGTATGTAAGCCGCGTTCAAAACAGACGTTGGCCGTAGCGACGGGTGACGTTTTATACAATCCTACCAGACGGACGAGAGATTATTCAGAAGTTCCAGGCCCAAATCCCATACCACTACTCGGAAACACTTGGAGATTCATTCCATTCATTGGTAAGTAACTCAGGTGAAAGGCATAGAAGACAAAAAGGAGAATGGCGTGCGTTTTGTGATGTAGCATGATAATCTGACATTTAAGTGAATCCGGGGATGAACCAGTTATAAATGTATTTTAAACTTACAAAAAACAAATAGTTGCGTTTTGGGAAAAGGAGTGACTGACACCCTATCCAGTCAGCAAGGTTTCTAATTTTTCTTTGTACTTTTGTTCGCTTTTAGGCGGACCCTAGACCGACAATAACTTTGCACAATACCTTTATTGTGCAATAGTATTGATAACAAGCGGACCCTAGCCCTACAAAACATATTGTATTTATAGACAAATATTAATTTGTTTATTTTGAATTTGAACATTAAATTTGTCTATTTTGATACGATTATTGCTACTCTAACAAAAGTATTTATTTTTCAATTATTGGCCGGGATTTTAATGACTTATATTTAATGGTTATTTTTGTAAAAAAAATATCAACTTTTTATTTTAAGTGTTTTAGTGAGGTTCTTCAGGGCCTGCGATTTATAAACATTGTTTAAATTTTACAAATACATTTAGGATGTGAAAAAAATGAATTTATACAATGCTAGAAATTTTAGATTCAGTGAAAGTATCTGTGCTCACTCAAAATGTTTGTTTTCTGTG